TGGACAATGATTTGTTTGCATTTCTTCATTTATTAGCACTAAAATAAACTAGAAATAAAAAATGTTGTTTAAATGCTTACGAACTAGGTGAAAGACGCGGTAGTGTATGTATGTAAAATTGTCTTTTAATTCTTGGGTCTTTTTTTGTTTTGTAAAAAAACTACACAGTATATTGTGCTTTCTTTTTTGTTCTTCAAGCGTTCAAGTAAATGGGCTTTTCAATTAGAGAGAAGGAATGTACAGCCTTTGGTTGTAGCAATTTGTTGGTTGCCAAGCGTGTTGTGATGCATTTACCATTGCGCTGGACCCAACTCGGACCACTCTCGCACGAAATCGGCATGCTTTTCGACTGCTGGGAACCAATCGGCACCGCCATAATCGATTTTGGGCTGTGTGCCTTTGTAGTTTTCGGGCAGGATTTCGGGTGAGAGGAATTTCTGCAGGGACTTCATGTCGCCGCCGTGGAAGTGCATCTGGAAAATAAAAGTCAAATTGAAGATATACTGGTTTAAAAAATAAAACAAGAATTACAAAAAAATAAAATAAAATAATTGAAATGAATTAATTGAAGGATAAAGATGATTCCGTACAATCCAATATGTCTACAGCTTTTATTAGACTCATGTTTTTTCAATATTGGTTGACGGCTTAAAACGGAAGTCCAACAAAAAAATTCGGAAACGCTTGGTGGCTGCTAAGAGCGCCCTGAAGTATGCAAAAGTATTTGATGTTTCCTGGCTACCGCTTAATCCGTTTCCTGTCGGGCTTATTGACTTCTGTCAGAGAGCGTTATGAATAAACGTTAACTCTTCAACAGCTGTGAAATTTCAGTGCCACATAATGCAAAAGCCACAAAGTACTGCTACTTCGGCAGTGCGATGTTGGTAATTGTAATGATAATAATGATGGCAATGACAACAGTGATGGTAAAGGTAATGGTAATGTTAATGGTATCCGTATCAGTAATGTTGATGGTAACGGCAACGGTATTAGTAGTGGAAATGGCAATGATAACGGGTAATGGCGAAGGTAATGGTATTGGTAATGGCAATGGTAACGGTAATGGTAATTAAAAAAATGGCAATGGTTACAATAAAACTAATAACTATTTATTTTAATGGTGCTGGTTATTGTAATAGTAATGGGGTACTGGAAAGGGTTATTGTTATAGTAATGGTAATTGTGCTGGTAATATAAGCGGTAGTGGTACTTGTAATTGAAGTTGTAATGATAATGATGAAGTTAATTGTACTGGTGATGGCAAAAGCAATTGTAATACTACTATTAAATTTGAGATTACGAAAATTGTAATGGCAACTCACCCTCTTATTGAGCTTCTCGCGTACGAATGGCTTGAAAAGTGCCCACACCATTTTAAAAATGAATGGCTGCTTAACAAAATGTACTTCTTTCATGCGCAACGGCATCGCATCCTGTATGAAGGTGAGCAAACGTTTCGAGAAACTTGGTGTTAACGCTTTAACCTGCTTCATTGAGAGGCCATCAAAGTCCATTACACAAACAACGCCACGCACTTGTGTTTCTGGTTCCAATTG